TTATTATTTTAAATAAAGTCTGGATTGTGTTCAAGTTTGTTATTTTATTCTAATGTAAGGCTAATAATCATTGACTTACAAATAAATGGACGCCGGGTCTAATACAAAAACCACGAAAAAAATGTCCCAAGTCGACCTATTTAAACGTAATGACATGTAAAGGAATATGAAAAAGCTAAAACGTTGAATTTAAATTGTAATGTCATCGCAGTACTGTCTAATTTTGCTTGCTTCGCTGTCAGTCGAACAAACGAAGACTAAAGCGTAAATGACGCTCTGTATAATAAAAATAAAATAAAAAGTCCATCCAACGTCCATATAATTGTAAGTCAATGCTAATAATGCATTACTTTAAAGTCTTATCAAAATGATTTTCATTTTTCTTATAATCTATTTCACCGACTAACCGTTGTTGGATAACAATATCGTATCCGAATTCGGATCGAACATTTTAACTCGAATGTTCTGAATAGCTCGGAAAGCGCCCTTCGATTCGAGAACGATATCCAAAGAGTTCTGAATCGGGGTCCCGGTTCGATTCCCGACCGGGAGAAAAATTTGTATGGCCTACATTTTTTTTAGTAGCAGTAGAGCTCTTTGTGTAAGAGTTCGTCCAGGAAAGTACTGCCACCTTATCTATTTCTGCCGCCAAGCAGTAATGTCAGCGTTACTGTGTTCCGGTTTTGAAGGGTAAGTGTGCTGGTGGAATTACAGGCACATGAGACTTGTCAACTTATGTCACAGAGTGACGGGCACAGTGGGTACACCTCAGATCTTTGCGATTTAAAGCTCTGAGTGGCACTGCAACTGTTACGGACAGGCGTGTAGCTTAATATCACGCGCACGACTTGTTCGTCCTGTCACTTGATATGCTAAAATAAATATTTCTCTCGTGAATTTGAGTGTAATTTGTGATTGCCTATGTGTATGTCCACGGCACCCGCGACCCAGGGTTTCCCTAGTGCGGGGCTATGTTGAGTGTGTGCCTTATTATTAGCGCATTATGGACCCTGCAAATTATAGAGCTCCCACCGTATCGGTGGCATACATTGACAGGAGATGCAGCAGGGTTCCGGAGGTTCACTGAGTTACAAGTTTTACGTGTGAGTCAGTGAGCCCTCGATGGGCTGGGTTCATCCTGTTTGATATATAAGCAATTAATTTTATAATGTACCTAAATGTGATTTGTTAGCCTTTAGAGCATCGAGTGTATAACCAGAAATAGAGACGAAATGTCTTTTATTTGTTTGAAAACTATTCTGCCATATCATTACCGTGACAACTGCGCCGGCGATTGGCCGGCCCGAATTCGAAACAATTGACGGGTGTCATCAATGGGTGTCGTCAACTGTTTCACTTCAAATCGACCAGTTAACTTGAGCTTTGCTATAAAGGACGTAAATTGCAAAATTACATATTTGATATTTAATTAACGATGATATGTGATTCCGTTTGTTTTGTAATTAGATGTTTTACTGTTTTTCCCACACCACCGAATAGAACGACACGGCATTGTTAAAGATACTTTTTATTACAATAAATACAGAATATTTTTTGGAATATACGGAGACGTACACACAGGTCAGCAGTTGGCTTGTCTATATTTCAGTACAAACAGGAGTTGATATTTATAAGAGCTGTATCGCTAATGTGTTACCAGGAATATATGGCCCTTATTTCGTCTCTATTTCTGGTTATATACTCGATGCTTTAGAGTGACTGTACCATACTAATCATAATACTAACATTTTTTAAATGTTAATGGCCAGCCCGAATTCGAAACAATTGACGGGTGTCGTCAATGGGTGTCGTCAACTGTTTCAATCGACTAGTTAACTTGAACTTTGCTATAATGGACGAAAATTGTAAAATTACATATTTAATTACCGATGAAATTTGATTCCTTCTGTAATTAGATGTTTTGCTGTTTTTCCCCACACCAGCGAATGGAACAGTACCCCACAGTTAGAGATATTATATTTAGTACAATAAATACAGAATATTTTTGGAATATACTAAGATGTACTCTCAGGTCAGTTGTTGACGATGTCTATATTTCAGTGCAAACGAGAGTTGATATTCATAAGTGATGTATCACTGATGAGTGACCAGGAATGTATGTCCTTATTTCGTCTCTGTTTCTGGTTATGTACTCGATGCCCATACGCCATTGTGCCCCAGCCGAAAGTCTTCCCCTTAGGCATGAGTTACAGTGGTATGGAAGTTCGTGGGTCGTCTCAAATCACAGTTGGCCGGTGTAGAAGACAACATAGTGAAATGGGGATATATCAATCCGACTCAAAACCATTGTGCTTACGAATCCACCACACAAATAATGTCTCACTTACTCTTATGCCTACTACGTCCTACCATCTGCGCCTGCGAAGACCTGCTAAAGGGTTCTACCTTTATGGTGGCTGTTTACTGGGCCCAAGAAGTATAACACAGGTACTCTACTGGTCTCCCGGTCTGGTGCACCCGGGGCGGCTCATCCGAGGCACTAGCCTCTCGAAGAACCGGATGAAGTCCAATGAAAGAGGTCTGTGATAACTCTGTACACTGGCTGATCTGGGGTCAGAACCTGAACTTATAAGGTTGCTGGGCGCGCACAGGTCATAGTGCCCTTCCCGCATAACTAAGAGGTTGATAGGGAGGGGTATTATAAACAAAACTTATGTAGAATGATATGGGACTGGTTTCTGGCATTGACTCGACAAGAAGAAGATTCTTAGACATACAAATATGACTATAAGAAAATTGCTATATGTATACATAGGTTTAAAAGACTTAGAGAAGCTTATGTTCTGTGTTTTTTTTTAGAAAATGCGAGGGCATCGGTCAGATCCTGCTGCTAGTGAGAGAGAAGAAAGGAAAATCTCCAAAACAAAGACTTGAGGAACTTTTAAACGATGCGGTGAGTTATAACTTAATTTCTTACCAGGCTTTTGAAATTTTATTTCTTTTAAGGCGATGTATTTCAAGACGAGATTAGACTTTAGGAGGTGAGGTGTTGGGGTGTCCCTCGCGTCTCGCAATCTGCGCGGTCAAAATTAATAAGAATGAAGTAAGAACACGTGGAGTAAATCTGTGTCAAAGATCCGACATCAACAAGTGTCCGATGGCGACTGATGGCGCAGCGGGCGGCGCGGCGTGTAGTTTTCTCGTCACCTTTTCCACAAAATCTGAAAACAAAGGTTTTCTACAAGTGCGTTCTGCCTGTTATGATTTACGGAGCCGAGATGTGGACACTCACGATACGGCTAGTCCACCAATTTAAAATCGTTCAGTGAGCTATGGCTCTGGAACGGGCTATGCTCGGAATTTCTGAAGGATAAAATTCCTAATGAGGTTATCCGACGGAGAACCAAGGTCACCGACATAGCTCGTGCAATAAGCAAGCTGAAGTAGCATTGCGCTGGCCATATTTGAACCGATAACCGATGGGGAAAATGAGTTCTAGAGTGGAGACCGCGACTCGGTAAACGTAGTGTAGGACGCCTTCCGGTCAGGCGGAGTGACGACCTGCGAAAGGTTGCTGGCGGGAAATCGATGCGACAAGCTGAGGACCTTGCGAAATGGTACACGTTTTGGGGGGCTATGTCCAGCAGTGGACTGCGTTAGACTGATGATAATGATCATGGGATAAATGTGAATTTAAAAACTGTTCGGGCTTCAGTTGAAAACCAAAATTTAGCAGGTTCTCTGTGATACTTAAAGAGAAATATCTTCATAAAAAAATTATGTACAAAATTAGATATTTTATTCTTAAATAATCCGTTTTAGATTTTTATTGTAACCTGTTTTTGAAATTTTATTAGATCGGATGGAGTTTATCGTATCAGGTAACTGATGATGCTATAATAAAAAAAAATTAAAACAGACCTTCGATAGCTCGTGGGGAGCTGCGGGATAGATGAGCTCGCAAGTAAAAGGAAAGGAAGCCGTGCTACCACCAACCTTTATGTCCGAAATGTCGTAGAGCTCGTCTTCTTTCATGTAATATTATAGATTACGCGGCTCAATGCCGGGCGGAGAAGCGGGATATTTAAATTAATAAAATATTTGCGATGCGGATGCGGATTTTTGAATTTGAAAGTAACGTCACACTTATTTTTTAATTTTTACTGGCGATTTATGTGGCTTGGCGTAGCACGGATTAGGACGGAAAAGGTAAGGAGGTGCGAGCTCAGACAAACTATACCTGGCGTTACCAGTAACTAATTCTCAAATTTCTTAGATAATATCCTTAGGTATATCGCATATGAATATTGTTTATTTTCTTTAGTATGCGTTAGAAATGAAGTTATTTTAATGTTTCATTAATTAATATATAAGTAATATGATTACAGTAACATTTATTCTAACTATTAATAAAATAAGTTGCTCATTGTTACTACGCAAGAGAACTGTCAAGGCCACGGAAGAGAAAGAACAATGGAAATGAGCCTCGATTCTATCAGAACCGATGTTGCCAAAACTCACACATTGTTAATTAGAAACACTACAACATCTTGATATTAATTGGTTTACTTTAGGTATTAGCTTCAAATTTAAAAAGAAATAACAAATTCTGGATTGTTATTGCACGTTACGACGTTCTGATATAATGAAATTTCCATCAACGTGCTGCCATCTAGCGGTTAATTGCTGAACGACGAATTGGAGTTATTAATTTAGTTCTCAAAAAAGAAGCGACTGTATTGCAGGGGTGTAAGCTTTACTTTCGTTTCTTATAACAAAAAAATTTTAAATTTAATGAAATAAGAGGTCCCGATGATATAAAATACCGCCACGGGTAATATTATTGGTGCTGCTATCATTTTTGCATTCCAAAACAGTGCAATAAGGCATTTTTCTAGGATTTTAGAGAATTTGCACGAAAGAATGACACAACCACACCATGCAAAGCGAAAATGGTGGAATAAGTTCAGATAGGTCTTTCGAGACCTATAGTTGGCACGCTTCAGACACTTATAAAAACAAACACTTATAAACAACAGGCATCCCAGCAGGTCACTTATCACAGTGCCAGTTTGTGACCTTGGTCTCTCCTTCTTTTCTTTGTATAGGGCTAGGAGCGAGACATTGGCAACTTTGACAACCTTAAACCTGACTCCAGGAATGTCACCAACAGCGTGACCTTTACGACCGAATCCTGCAACTAGAACTTCATCATTCTCCTCAATATGGTTGAGACAACCGTCACGGAGCACGAACGCGGTCACCTTCTTGCCACTTTTTATCAATTGGACACGTACACACTTGCGGATGGCAGAGTTAGGCTGCTTGGCTTCTACACCAACTTTCTCCAGGACGATACCCTTAGCGTGAGATGCACCACCGAAGGGGTTAGCCTTCCACCTTGTGCCCATGTGGGCTTTCTTGAACTCCTTGTCAGCCTATCGCTGCTGACGACGATGGTTCACGTGCTTACGCGCTGTGCGTATAGCACGGGGTTTACCCATTTTGCTAGCACGACATCAATTGGCTACGGTTGGGAAAAGTACCTAACCATTTCTACTGTATTTATTGTTCTACGATCGAGGGCTTAGCTCTATAATAATTAATACAATAAAATTGTAACGGGGTACCTCGTGCTATCTATCATGTTCTGTTATTTAATTTTAATGTAAATGCCGTTACTGTCCATGAATTTAACTGCCTCCGTGGTCGAAGTCTGCCACACAGAGGTTCCGGGTTCGATTCCCGTAATTTGTGGTTGTCTATGTGTGTCTATGGCACCCGCGACACAACGTTACCCTAGTGCGGGGTTAAGAGGGCGTGCGTTAAAAAAATGTGTTTGAATGCAGTATTACTTATGTAATACTATATTATTATATGTTTAAAAATAAAATAAGGTGTCCTTGAGGCAAAATAACCTATCTCCTATATTTAAATTAATTTGCCTTCGTGTCTCATAGCCGTGGGACACCCTGTATAATAAGTAGAACAAACTGCATATTATTCAAAAAGATCAGTAGTGTAGGTAACTGAACTCGGGCCTCCTGCGTAGGAGGCAACCGATTTCGCAACTAGACTACCACGGTGTATATTAGAAGGTATTTTAGTTCAATCCAACAAGTTAGTAGAAGGTACGGAACACTCCTTCCTTATGCCGTTGATATACCACATATTTGCACTAAGCGCTTTGCTTCCTCCTTTTTGATGCATACAGCCATTGACTTACAATTATATGGACGTCGGGTCCGCGCTAAAAAGTGTCCGAACTTATAGGGCGTTAAAATCATATACAGAGCGTCATTCACGCTTTAGTCTTCGTTTGTTCGACTGACAGCGAAGCAAGCAAAATTAGACAGTACTTCGATGACATTACAATTTAAATTCAACGTTTTAGCTTTTTCATATTCCTTCACATGTCACTACATTTAAATAGGTTGACTTGGGACATTTTTTTCGTGGTTTTTGTATTAGACCCGTCGTCCATTTATTTGTAAGTCAATGCGCACGACTTATTGGTCCTGTCACCTGTTATCATAAAACAAGTTGGTTACATATTTTGCCCCAATACCATAGACGGATGTGGTTTGATAACTTCATCTCATCTTATGCCCTTTTGTGGTTTACAAATGCCGATATTTACAACCTCTTCAAAATCCAAAATGGCGCCTAAACCAAACCACACTAAGTTGGTTAAACACGAAATATGCAACTATTGCAAACCCTAACTACGGTGACCCACTAAACTGCATCGGTTAACGTTGAGAAACAGTTACCAAGCTCGATTTTCCAGTTTTCAACGTTATCTTTGTTGAAGCAAACAGGGCATAGCTAGAAAGTCTGAAGATTTTTTTTTAAATATCAAATGACGGGACGAACAAGTCGTGCCCATGATGGTAAGTTACACGCCTGTCCATAACAGACAGCCGCTAAGCAGTAATCAGTCAGCATTACTGTGTTCCGATTTTGAAGGGTGCTGGTGAAATTACAGGCACATGGTACTTGTCAACTTATGTCTCAGGATGACTTTTTAGCGCGGACCCGACGTCCATATAATTGTAAGTCAATGGTCGTGCGCCTTTTTTTTATTCAAATGTAAGTGTTCATTGACATCCATCTCACCTAATGGAAGGTGATGATGAGGTCGATGATTTAGCATGCACACTTAAATAATGCCTATTCACTCTCGCCTTGAAAAGGTCCAAGTTGTAACGTTCAGGGAACAAGTCTGCAGGAAGGGAATTTCACTCCACAGCCGTTCGCCATATAAATCTTTAGAATATCTACAATACGGTTAGAAGCCAAGCCTGCGCCTATTCCTCCGATGATGGAAAGGGGAAGGCGGAATTAAATCGTGTAATTCCTTCGCACACTCTTCGTAAAATATCGATATTTAGGCAACTTTACGACGGTGTTTAAGGCACTGTAGCTTCGCCTCTACTAATTCCGATTATAATAATTATTCCTGGTGGTAAGGTAAATAGCAAAGGTCTGATGGGCACTGCCACTGCGCCTGTCACCCTGAGACAAAAGTTGACAAGTCCCGTGTGCCTGTAATATCACCAGCACCCTACTACCCTTCCAAACTTCTCTTTTCCGTGCGCTGCGCACTACTGACTAGTCGATTATTTGTAACATTTTATATTCACTTATACCAGAGTTTGTACAATATGTAATTTATGCATTACAAATCACCATTATGTCCCAAACTGTGTTCATCATTCCGCAACCCTTAAAATATGTCCTCAGTAAGCAAGAAACCGGCCATAAAGTATTAAGTAGGGTAAAACCGGGATAGATGCCGCAGTGGGATAGGTGCCTCGTTTTCAAAAAACCTAACTTCCCCAAATCGCAGCAAAGAATAATTAGTTTAAATAAGGAGTATAGACACCACTCATCAAAATTCCTGTAAGGCTTCATGTGGAATAGACGCGTTTAGCTTATGCATGCGTTTAT